AATAGCTGGATTCTCAAAGTGTAAACCAGCCCCCACACCCATGTCACCACAACTCTCCAAAGGTAAGTCCAACAACACCCCTTTCTCCAATCCACAGCTTTATAGACAACTTGCAGGATCTATACAATACCTATCCATTACAAGACCAGACATCACCTTCGCAACAAATTATGTCAGCCAACATATGAACCAACCAAGCAACACCGACTTCAAACACCTCAAACGACTGATACATTACATTCAAGGAACGATTAGCTTTGAAACTCTCATCTCTATTGGTGATCTACAATTACGAACATATGCATATGCTGACTGGGCAGCAGACACAGTTGACAGGAAATCTACATTTAGCTTCTGCACCTTTCTCGGCAACAACCTCATCTCCTGGACCGTCAAAAGCAAGCTACCATAGCCAAATCTTCTACCGAAGCATAATACTGATCCATCTCGCCCGCCACATCTGACGCCCTCTAGCTTTATCATCTTCTCACAGAACTTCACATTCATCAAAATGCTTCGACCACAATCTACTACGACAACACCTCTGCTATAGCGCTCGCCAACAATCCCGTCTTCCAAGTGCGGACAAAACACATACAAATAGACTACCATTTCATTAGCGGACACATCAAGGCTGGAGCAATCAACAACTCTCACATCAGCACAATCAATCAGATAGCAGACATACTTACCAAAACTCTGCCAACAAATCAATTCAACAATCTTAGAACCAAATTAAACATTTGTTCCTCTAATGATTAATTTGAGGGGAACTGTTAGAACACCTACACGTCAGCACTTCTTTTATTGTATTTATTTAATAAATGTTGACGTGTCTCCATCGTTTCTTGTTTCATGTAATACTCAGTCTATATATAACTAGGATGACATCTTTCTCATTTTAAGATTGAGTTATATGTTCCTCCCAAAACATCTACAAAATTGTTTCACATTTTATTCTATGTTTCAACAAGATTATAGGTTTCATAAAGATGATTTAATCAAAATGTGGATTGCATTGGGTTTCATTCAGCAACCTCACCATGAAGAATGGACTATGGAGGATATTGGAGGAAGGTATTTTGATGTTTTGGATAAAAAAATTTCTTTGACAAGTTTGAAGATGTTAGACGATAGTAACAAGATGCATGATTTAATACTTGAATTGGCACAATCACTTTTCATAAATGAATGTTTAAGATTGAGGATGGTACAAAGTTGCCTTCTATAATTCCTAAGACTCTTCGACACTTGCCTTTTCAAACTATAAATTCAATCATCTTAAGAAAGATTCTGAATTTTAAATATTTACTCTCTCTTTTCTTGTTCTATGACGCTTCTAATCAGGATCTTTACAATACACTTATTGAAATATTCAAAGCATCGAGAAGCCTACACTTGTTATACATATGACCTTCAAAAAGAGGGTTATATATAGACAATCTATCGATTCTCCATACTCCACTTGAGATAGAGAGAGAAACTCTGAGAAACTGATCGAAATTCTGTTCGGAAATTCAAATTATTCCTTCACGGGAATTGTGGAAACTCTATGGCGGTGGATGTTCGCCGGCACCTGATGGCCAGCGAAAAGCTAGAGGATTGACGTAACACTACCAAGCCTTCAACAGCTCCTTCTCATCTTCTCCTTTCGCCTCCTGCGTTCAGAGATGACAAGCATGGCTTCAATCAAGTTTCAAAACATAGAGCTTCTAAAGGCATTATTATCAATGAAGGAGGTTTTGTGGGAAGAAAAGTTCCATATATTTTTGGTAAAGGGAAGGAAATAATGTCTGAGGAAAGGATTGAAAAAGTTATATTTAAAAAGACGGCATTGGATCTAGAGGGTGGTTTTGAAGCGTCACCTTCATCCTTGCCACCAATTGAGAAAATTACATCATAATTGAAAATTTCTGAAGGCTTAAATGTAGACTTTACGTCTGTAATCTCTGAGAATTTTCCTAATTCTGTTAAAGAAAATGCAACAATGAATCTGAAGGAGAAGACTGGTTTTATGGATATCCCCCTGAATTCTATAGAACAACCGAAGATTTAGTATTCTGATCTGCTGAAGGTCAGAAATGTTGAAAATTCTAAAAGAGGAAACTACGAAGATGATGCTGTTAATCCAGTTCATGCTAATGTGGAAGAACAAAAAAATGCTTGGAGAAGGAGAGAAAATATCAAAGTTTCTGACTTGGAATTGGGCAATTTTTTATCTGAAGACAATAAGACTGTCAAACTGCATTATTTAAATGAGAAAGAAAATGCTAGCAAACTTATCAACTCATTAGTTGTTAAAGTATTTGGTGGTGAACCTCCTATGTGGATTATCAGTTCTTAGCTTAGAAGGCAATGGGCTCCATATGGGAAATTCCACCTTACTATGCTAGGCATGGGGTGGATTTTATGTTCTTTTCCTGAAGCTGATCAAATGGAAGCTGTAATGTCGAATGGGCCATATTTGTAAATGGAAAAATAATTGGGATGGACAAGTGGACACATAATTTCTCTCCTAATTCACTGAAGGGGATGACAGCACCAATTTGGATTCGTCTTCCAAACCTTCCACTTCATTGCTGGGACAAATTAAATATATGTAGAATTCCTTCAATGGTTGGAAAACCATATATACTAGATGGAAACATGTTCCAATGGGGATGAAGAGAATTTGGAAGGGTTTGTGTTCGAATTAATTTGGATGCTAAGCTTCCAATAGGAGTATGGGTGGAAGGCTGTTATGGAAGATTCTACCAAAAGATAGAATATGAAAGGGTTCCTTATTTTTGTTTCAATTGTGGTCTTATTGGCCATAGTAAAGAACTCTACAGAAATTCAGATGAATTTCCCATTAGTCAAGAGAAGAAGTATACCACAGAAAATCCAATACTGAAGAATGCAGAACCTTTGAAAGATTCAAATGGCATCAGTAATGAAGATTTTGGTTATGGTCCTTGGTTAATTGTAAACCGAGGGAAGAAGAGAGGTTACAGCAAAAATCAGAAATTCAATCATCAGGCATATAATAAAGACCAATGGAAATTGAAAAAACCTATGAATGCTGTACGAACAGCATGTCTATCAAATCCTTATCGAGATAAGGATATTGAAGTTGAAAATAATCAGGCTCCACAAACTTCTTGCCATGGAAATGATGCAATCGTAGATATATCAGCTAAGGAAAATAATGTTGCTGTCCTTCCAGAGAATAATACAGATACTAGAGAGAATTTCTCCATTTACACAACAGAAAATATGTTTAATGCTCTGGAAGATCATGTGGAAGAAGGGGAAATAATCCAGGATAAAATAGATGCTGTATTAAAAGATTTAAATGCTGCTACTGCCTCTACAGAAGCTACTAGCATTCCAGATCAGGTCTTATATGATACATTAAAGGATTTCATCTTGGTTAAAAAGAATAAATCAAAACAACTTAAAGACCTTGGTCCTATTAGAACTAATTCAAGAAGCAGGAGGATGGAGCTGGATCCGAAAGCTACAATAGGGAGTTCTTCCCCAACAATACATTAATGTATTCTTTAGCTTTTTGGAATTGTAGAGGAGCTAGAAAAAGGTGTGCTTCTCTATTCCTTAAAGAGTTTATTAAATTACATAATGTTATTTTTGTGGGTTTATTAGAGACAAAGTTATCTAATATTGATATGGAAGAAGTCAAAAAGACTATTGGAGATGGTTGGAATTATGTGATGGTACCTTAAATTTGTTTATCTGGTGGGATTATAGTTCTCTAGAATATATCCCTGGCTGATTTTTCTATGCTGGAAATATCTTCACAATGTATTATTGGGGATCTTACTATCTACAACAAAGGAAAATGGAGAGTGGCTTCAATCTATGGCAACAAAGATTTGTATAAAGGAGAAAATTGTGGAACAAGTTGGAAGTTCATTCTACTGAAGAAACACCAATGTTGATAGGAGGAGATTTCAATTGCCTCACTTCAAGTGAAGACAAAAGAGGGGGAAAGATGTTTCATTTCTCTATAGGGCTAAAGGAGATGGAGGCATTCCTTACTAATAATGATTACCATGAGGTAAGATTTATTGGACCAAGGTTCATGTGGTGCAACAACAATGAAGGAGGAGCTAGAATCCTGGAGAGATTAGACAGGTGTTTTCTTAACTCTTTGGCTTTAAATTCTTCTAATCATTTGGTTGCTAGACATCTTGCAAGGATTGCTTTGGATCATAGTCCGATTGTTCTTAATTTTCTTGAACATAAACCATCAACTTATAAATGCATTAAATTTGAGGATGTTTGGACATCCTACCTGTTGACCTCATTATTCGAGGTCAATTTCCCCGAAATTGATTCTAGCACCTAGGTATTCGTAACCTAGTGTAGACGTCACCCCCATAGAATTTCTCTTAGGTGGATACCCATTGACGTAGCGTCGACTAAAACCTACCATTCAATTCAAATCAAAGTCAATTCAATCTAGTTTCAATTCAACTCCAAAACAAACTCAAATCAAGCCCGCTTTATGATTCGTCGATGTCAATCGACTCAATTTAATACAATCTAATTTGTTTTCGATCAAATTGATACATCATTGGGCTAAAAATCAATTCACCAATCAAACACCAAATTCTTTCTAATCAAATCTATTTAATTTTAATCAAATTAAAATTAGCCCTTTGATCCCTTTTAAATTCAACCCAAATCTAAATTCAACTCCAAACTAAACTCAACTCGACTCATATCAAATCAATTCTTTTAAACTAAAAATTACTACCCAAATTGATATGGAATTAAATCAAATCAACTTAATTCGAGTTCGATTTAATGTAGATGACTCTAACCAACCCTTAGAGTGAAAGTATAAATCATAAGATTATTTGAGAAGTTTCCATTTGATCTGAATGAAAAGCTTGGCCGATCTAACCAAACCCACTCACCCGAACGGCCTGCTCTCTCTCTCTCTCTCTCTCTCTCTCTCTCGGACAGCAGTTCGCAGGATCTCGAACTCCCTCAACCTACACGAAGCCACTCCAATTTCCCACGTTTCTCTCAATCCTGAACTCCCATTCACTCCCCTCCAGATCGCACATGCCGCTCCCCCACTCAGTTCTCTCGGCAGTTCCAAAATTCGCACAGCACTCAACCCACGATCTCCCCTTCTCTTCTAATACGCACACAGAGCACAAAACCTCTCCTCTTCTCCTGGAGTTCACGAATAACCCCAGCCCCATTTCAAGTAGCCGTTTGCTCTCTCTCTCCCGCTGGATCCTCTCTCAGTTCGCACAAGCCCAAAAGATTCGCTCATCTCCCTCAATAGTTGGCGTGAAGCCAAGGCCCCGTCGCCCTCTCTCCAGTCACTCTCTGGATTTCGCAAAACCCATCATCTGCTCCTAGTTCGAACGAAGTCTCCGATCTCCTCCTCTCTTAGCCCGTCGCCTCCCTATGCTGTAAGAAACGAAAGTCGCAAGAAATCCTTCTCCTGCTCGAGACTCTCTCATTCGCACACAGAGAGAACTGCCTCTCCCAGTTCGCAAACAGCCTCCCCTCTCCTGTCTTCCTTTCTCTCTCGCCTGAGAAGATCCAGACGGAAATACCCTCTCCCCGGGCAAATTATTGGGTCAGGTGACCGGAGCCAAAAGATAAGTTCGGACAGCCAATAAAAATTTGCCGCGTCACCTTGCGCTTTAGTTGCGCTTTTTGACTTGCGCTTTAGTTGCGCTTTGGTTGCGCTTTAGTTGCGCTTTGGTTGCGCTTTAGTTGCGCTTTTTGACTTGCGCTTTAGTTGCGCTTTGGTTGCGCTTTGGTTGCGCTTTAGTTGCGCTTTGGTTGCGCTTTAGTTGCGCTTTAGTTGCGCTTTAGTTGCGCTAATTTTAAAATAATATTTTATTATTATCCGAACCTATCTCTGCGTTCGGTCACCTGACCCAATAATTTGCCCTCTCCGCAGATATCCAGGTTGCCAGAAGACCAAAGGATGTTCATACACGTGACGGCCATCGCAGAGATAACTGCAATCAGCAAAATAAATTCAAGCCAGGTTGCCGTGAAGACCATCCATGGCCTGAGACGGTGCAGTTGGCCTTGCTCATCATCGTCGGATTGTAATTTTTCACCATCAAAGACCCTCAAAACAGAATAATGATCATCGTAAACCTTCAGGAAGGGTCCATAAATATGGGATAGCCACTGTCCCCAAAAAACATTACCAAGAGTAGTATGTAAATCTGTAATAACCAAAACTGGGGTAATGAAAAGAAAACCCCAAATGTATTTGTATACCCAGGTATCCCAAACCAATAGTAAGATGAAAAAAAGACTTTCAAACAACCAAAACCAGTAACAGAGAGCCACAGGCGGCAACCAATAGGCCAAAACTAAATTCCAGTGAATCTTGCCAGCAGCGAATCTTTGCATTTCCATTTTGAGATTTTAACACGGATGGCATTAGAAATATTGCAAATAACTTTGACAGAATTGTTGCTTTGATTTGAGAATCGCCTAAAATTTCTCTCTTTCCAGATAAAGTAAATGATACAGCTAGCAGTTAGACAAGCAAAATCTTTTTCCAGCCTACTATGCATCATGGAATGCTCAAAGAAGTCAAAAACTTGAGTTAAGGTAGGCCTTAGTAAGAAAATATTTAGATCAGGAAGCAGTCTGGTGAGAATATTAAAGGAAAAACTCACAATCAAAGAAGAGATGATTGTGGTTTTCCGGATAAACCGTGCAGAGAGAGCATGTAGGAGGAACAGCAATGCCTCTAAACATTAAATTATCTGCTGTTTTGAGCTTTCCAATGACAGCCATCCAAGTATAACAGGCGTATCTAAGAGAAAAATTCTTATGCCAAACCGATAAATGCCAATCTACCTTAGGTAAATGAGAATAGAAATGCTCAGTAAAATGTCTAAAAAACCAGTTTGGCGAGCCAAGCCAAAGCACCTCCGATTTCTCCCCAATTTTACAATCAAGAATGGCAGCAGCCGTGGTGTTAAAAATCGAGTTGGGTAAGTCCCATATGCCAGCATTTATATAATCCTTCACCAATTTACCTTTAAAAACTTCAGTATTAGGATCAGCAGAAAAATGATAGCCTTTGAGCCAAGGATCCCAATACATAGAGAAAGAACAATCAGCCCCAACAGAGAAAGAAAGCAGATCTTTAATTTTTATAGCCGTATCATGAATTTTCTTCCAAAATTTAGAGGCATTAAGAGGGGGGATCTTCCAAGGGGAGTAATAGAGCGATTTGTACCAAACACTCAAGAGGTTGGAAGAGAAAAACCTGCTGATGAGAGAACAGAAAGTGCCATGATAAAGAGCCTCAATTGAAGGTATACCAAGACCTCCAAAACATTTAGGTAAGGTGACTTTGGACCAAGCAATAAGGTGAAGTTTCTTCTCATGAATATTGCTATGGAAAAGGAATCTGGAACATAGTTTATTGATGTCGCCACAGCAAGATTTAGGTATAATAGCTCCGCGAATCCAATAGGCTATAGTATTGATAATAGTAAACTTGAGAAACTGCACCCTGCCTGCAAAAGAAAGAAACTTAATTTTCCAACCATCAAGTAGAGCAGAAAGCCTGCTCAGGAGTGGTTGGAAGTGAGAAATTTTGAGGCGTTTAGGAGAAATAGGAAGGCCGAGGTAGATGAAAGATTCAATAACTTGATGTATCCCCAAAATTTCGCAAATCTGGAACACCTCAGAAACAGATTTAGAGAAAAGGATAGAACTCTTGGAGGTATTGATGAAAAGGACGAAGCAAGACCCAAAAAGAAGCAAGCAATTAGAGAGAGCCTGAGCATTTTCAGTGGTGGCAGTTCCAAAGACAAGTAGATCGTCAGCATACATGAGATGATTCACATGAAAATTACTGCATTGAATCCCCTTAAAACCAGAGTTGATGTAAGGAAGGTTGAGAGTTTGAGAAAGACCGTCCATTACAATGCAGAATAAAAGGGGGGATAGAGGGCATCCCTGACGTAATCCAGCAGATGAGTTAAAAAACCCCTCCAGGTTCCCGTTTAAGCAAACAGAAAAATGAATCTCCCATATACAGCCTTTAATCCAAGATACAAATCTATCCGAAAACCCCTTTTGAATCAATCTGTCAATCAAGAATTCTCTAGAGACACAATCGAATGCCTTTTTAATGTCAAGCTTAGCACAGAATTTTTTGCTAGAACCCTTGAAATCTCTTAAAAGTTCAGAAGCAAGAATAATGTAATCAGTGGAACACCGCTGAGCAATAAAACCAGATTGGCTATCATGGATGATCAGAGGTAACACCTTCTTCAATCTATTAGCAAGGATCTTTGCAATAATTTTATAAAACACATTACAAAGAGATATAGGTCGATAGTCATTTATGTGAGTAGCATGCGAGTTTTTGGGAATTAAAGTAATAGCCATTGCTTTCATTCTTTTAGGGAATGAACCAGAGGTGAAGAAATAACTCACAGCTTTGAAAACTTGAAAACCGATCAAATGCCAAGCTTTACTATAAAAACCAAATGAGAAACCATCAGGGCCCGGTGTAGATGAAACACTTCCCTCAAAAACAGCCTTCTTGACCTCATCAAAAGAAACTGATGCAATCAACATGTCATAAAGATGGATGGGGACAGTCTGACCAGCAGGGATGGAGTGATAGATTGCAGGTTTAAAGGTAGGGTTGTAGAGCTTTTTAAAATGGTTTACAATAGCCCTAGAAACCTCAGCATGAGATGTAAAATGCCCTTCATCAGTGGTTATTTCTCTGATACAACTTTTATTGCTTCTATGCCTAATCTTGGCAAAAAGAAAGCTTAAATCATCTTCACCTTGAGAAAGCCAAGAAGTTTTGGCTCTTTGAGTTAACCAAGAGGACCAATGAGCTTGCAAAGAAGCCAGGTTACCATTGATACTTTTTAATCTATTATTCAGATCATTGTCCAAAGGATGATGTTGAAGCTCCTGTAAACAAGAGTTTTGCTTGTTTTTGAGTTCCAAAATTGAGGTAGACAGGAAATTAGAGGAAGCCCAGTTCCTATTTTTAAGAAGCCTTTTAAGGCAATGCAAGCTATGAGAAAAAGAAGCAATGGGACTTCTAGCCGACTAGACCGAAAAAGCTGTTAAACATCATCCCAGAAACCCTCCATATCCGTCCAATAGTTTTTAAATTTGAACCTAGCAGATATAGGTTTGTCATGAGAGGGATTAAAGATAAGAGGGGAGTGATCTGAGCCTTGAGGAGCATCCACTTTGTAGTAAGCTAAAGGCAAGTGGTCAAGTAAAGCAGAGTTAACCAAAACTCTATCCAGTTTGATGTGGATCGGGTTATCCACCCTTTGATTACACCACGTATAAAAAAGACCAGTGGATGATAAGTCTTGCACACCACATTTAAAAACAACATTGTTTAATTCTCCCAAACGGCTTTCCGAGAGGCAAGTACCACCCACTTTTTCAGTATCAAAGCGGCAACAGTTAAAATCACCCATAATAATCCACGGCTGATCAAGAGGTGGTGTAAGATCAATTAATTGATTCCACAAGCTTCTTCTCTCATCCATACTATTGCAGGCATAGACAACATAAAGTAAAATGGGGGGGAAGGATCCCGCAGAGAGAACCCCATGGATAAGTTGAGGTGAGGTAAGGATGGGCCTAAAATTGATGACAGAGGAATCCCATTTGAGCCAGATCCTGCCTGGATTGGAATCCTTGAAATTATTATGACTTTCTTCATTCTCAAACAACAAATGAGAATTTAAAAACCAATTATCATCCATAGAAGCTAGAGAGATTCTAGCTTCAAGAACACAGAGTAACTTGAGAGCATGATCACGAATGAGCGACTTACAGAAACGTACCTTGTCCGGGTGATTGAAGCCCCGGACATTCCAACTAGCAAATTTTGGGATGGACATTATGATTTTGTGGGTTTGGCCTTCTTGGCCGATTTTCCTTTTGGAGGCTTGGACTTGGTAGGGGATTTACCTTTGACAGGTATGGATTTTTTGCCTAAGGAGGTGGAGGTATCAGGCGGTTCTTCCCCTTTCTCTTATATTCAAAAGGTTGTTTGATGAGATTTTCTCTTCTTGGAAGATGGGATAATGCTAGAGATTTCCTTTTTGTTTACTTTAATTAAAATTAAAAATCCTGTCAGAATCTTATCCTCCTTTCAAGAAATTCAAAATTGTTTAAAAAAAAAATGTGTCTTGAAAAATGGAATTTAAGATGAGTAAAAAGTGGGAAATGATGATGTGGAGTTTGCTTGTGCTTTGAAAAACAAAATGAAGTATTTTTTGAAAGATGAATAGTATATATTATGAAAAAAATAAAAATATTTTGTTTTAAAAAGGTGATATGTGTGAGAAATAAAAACTGAAGTTTGTGGTTTCCGAAAGGTGAAAATTGTGTTTATTTTGGAATGATAAAATTGTATGTGAGAAAGACAAGGTATATGTATCTCTTGGAAAGTGAAATGTTTTTTTTTTAAAAAGTGATTTATATGTCTACTCTAAAAAAAAAAATGTTTATGTGTAAGATTGAGTAAAATGTGTATATGTGATGAGTAATTGGAATGTGTGTGTTAAAAAGTAAATAGTGTATATATGTTAAGAGGTGAAGTGTACGTGTAGAAAAGTAATTTGTAGTAGAAAAGTGGATTGTGAAAAAAAAAAATGTTTTGGTATGGAAAGAGAAATAAGATGTTTGTGTAATAGTTTGTAGATTTTTGAAAGATTAAGATTTGGGTGTACTTTGAAAGGTGATAATGTGATATTTGAAAGGTGAAAGGTGTGTACTTTGAAAGTTGAAAAGTAGGAAAGGTTGAGAGAAAGATTGGATTGTAAGATCAAGGTAGGGATGAATGTGAAAGTATTTGTGTTGAAGAACAAAGTATATGAAAGAGTGAAAGTGTATATTTGGAAAGATACTTGAGAAACTGCACCCTGCCTGCAAAAGAAAGAAACTTAATTTTTTAACCATCAAGTAGAGCAGAAAGCCTGCTCAGGAGTGGTTGGAAGTGAGAAATTTTGAGGCGTTTAGGAGAAATAGGAAGGCCCAGGTAGATGAAAGATTCAATAACTTGATGAATCCCCAAAATTTCGCAGATCTGAAACACCTCAGAAACAGATTTAAAGAAGAGGATAGAACTCTTGGAGGTATTGATGAAAAGGCCGGAGCAAGACCCAAAAATAAGCAGGCAGTTTGAGAGAGCCTCAGCATTTTCAGTGGTGGCAGTTCCAAAGACAAGAAGATCATCAGCATACATGAGATGATTCACATGAAAATTACTGCATTGAATCCCCTTAAAACCAGAGTTGATGTAAGGAGGGTTGAGAGTTTGAGAAAGACCGTCCATTACAATGCAGAATAAAAGGGGGGATAGAGGGCATCCCTGACGTAACCCAGCAGATGAGTTAAAAAACTCCTCCAGGTTCCCGTTTAAGCAAACAGAAAAATGAACCTCCCAAATACAGCCTTTAATCCAAGATACAAATCTATCCGGAAACCCCTTTTGAACCAATCTGTCAATCAAGAATTCTCTAGAGACACAATCGAATGCCTTTTTAATGTCAAGCTTAGCACAAACTTTTTTTCTAGAACCCTTGAAATCTCTTAAAATTTTAGAAGCAAGAATAATGTAATCAGTGGAACACCGCTTAGCAATAAAGCCAGATTGGCTTTCATGGATGATCAGAGGTAATACCATCTTCAATCTATTAGCAAGGATCTTTGCAATAATTTTATAAAACACATTACAAAGAGATATAGGTCGATAGTCATTTATGTGAGCAGCATGCGAGTTTTTGGGAATTAAAGTAATAGCCGTTGCTTTCATTCCCTTAGGGAATGAACCAGAGGTGAAGAAATAATTCACAGCTTTGAAAACTTGAAAACCAATCAAATGCCAAGCTTTCCTATAAAAACCAAACGAGAATCCATCAGGGCCCGGTGTAGACGATACACTTCCCTCAAAAACTGCCTTCTTGACCTCATCAAAAGTAACCGATGCAATCAACATGTCATAGAGATGGATGGGGACAGTCTGACCAGCAGGGATGGAGTGAGAGATTGCAGGTTTAAAGGTAGGGTTGTAGAGATTTTTAAAATGATTTACAATAGCCCTAGAAACCTCAGCGTGAGAGGTAAAATGCCCTTCATCAGTGGTTATTTCTCTGATACAACTTCTATTGCTTCTATGCCTAATCTTGGCAAAAAGAAAGCTTAAATCATCTTCACCTTGAGAAAGCCAAGAAGTTTTGGCTCTTTGATTTAACCAAGAGGACCAATGAGCTTGCAAAGAAGCCAGGTTACCATTGATACTTTTTAAGCTATTATTCAGATCATTGTCCAAAGGATGATGTTGAAGCTCCTGTAAACAAGAGTTATGCTTGGCTTTGAGTTCCAAAATTGAGGTAGACAGGAAATTAGAGGAAGCCCAGTTCCTATTTTTAAGAAGCCTTTTAAGGCCATGCAAGCTATGAGAAAAAGAAGCAATGGGCCTTCTAGCCGACTGGACCGAAAAAGCTGTATAAACATCATCCCAGAAACCCTCCATATCCGTCCAATAGTTTTTAAATTTGAACCTAGAAGATATAGGTTTGTCATGAGAGGGATTAAAGATAAGAGGGGAGTGATCTGAGCCTTGAGGAGCATCCACTTTGTAGTAAGCTAAAGGCAAGTGGTCAAGTAAAGCAGAGTTAACCAAAACTCTATCCAGTTTGATGTGGATCGGGTGATCCACCCTTTGATTACACCACGTATAAAAAAGACCAGTGGAAGATAAGTATTGCACACCACATTTAAAAACAACATTGTTTAATTCTCCCAAACGGCTTTCCGAGAGGAAAGTACCACCCGCTTTTTCAGTATCAAATCGGCAACAGTTAAAATCACCCATAATAACCCATGGCTGATCAAGAGGTGGTGTAACATCAATTAATTGATTCCACAAGCTTCTTCTCTCATCCATACTATTGCAAGCATAGACAACAGAAAGTAAATTGGGGGGAAAAGATCCCGCAGAGAGAACCCCATAGATAAGTTGAGGTGAAGTAAGGATGGGCCTAAAATTGATGACAGAGGAATCCCATTTGAGCCAGATCCTGCCTGGATTGGAATCCTTGAAATTATTATGACTTTCTTCATTCTCAAACAACAAATGAGAATTTAAAAACCAATTATCATCCATAGAAGCCAGAGAGATTCTAGCTTCAAGAACACAGAGTAACTTGAGATCATGTTCACGTATGAGCGACTTACAGAAACGGACCTTGTCCGGGTGATTGAAGCCCCGGACGTTCCAACTTGCAAATTTTGGGATGGACATTAGGATTTTGTGGGTTTGGCCTTCTTGGCCGATTTTCCTTTTGGAGGCTTGGACTTGGTAGGGGATTTACCTTTGACAGGTATGGATTTTTTGCCTAAAGAGGTGGAGGTATCAGGCGGTTCTTCCCCAATATTGGGAATGGAAGACGAGTCATTTTCAGACAATACCCTTTTGAGTACAAAGTAAAAGACAAGAGAAAAGAAAGTAGGATTTCTTCAAGGAGAAAGCACAATGTTTGAACATTTATTAGGCGGGTCAACAGGAAGAAGAGTAGAGGGCCAGATCTGAGAGGCTCAGAGGCAACCTCAGTCTACCTATGTTGGGCTTTTAATTTTTAAGAGAATAAATTATGTTTAAGTTGACATTTATTAGAAATTTGGGATTATATTCCCGGAGTGAGAGGACTTAAGATCTAAAAAGAATCTGCCTCAGAACTAATCTAATTGGGTAACTATAAAGTAGTGACCGACCTAATAATGAAATGCAAATTCTGGACTTACCCCAGCCTGATTGGGGAGCCAGCTACCACCTAGGCGCTTTAAAATCATGTGTTTCAGTCTCTTTATGAAAGATGGGTAGGACGTTGCTTAAGTTTTAAGGAATTGTGGGGCCGACATCTAAGATAGTCGCTAATTGGCCCCTTGACTTATATAAGGGTGAAAAATATCTAGAATCATTAAATTTAGACTCTTTTTAAATTTAATATCTAAATGCAATGCATGCTAATTGACTTCGAATGCAAAAATGATAATGAAGCAGTATTAAAAATTTAGCTTAGAAAATAGATTTTTCTTAGAGATTGCACAATTTCCCCTTGACAGACTACACCCTCATAGGTCAAATGGTCTGCCAGAACCCGCACTGGGGAGTGTGCCTACAAGGAGAGAAAGTAATAATATGCATTAAGCTGACTCTCGGCGTCCGGCTTACTTCTTAGAACGTTAGAGTTAACTATGTGAAGCCTAAAAATTTTTATTTTTAAATTACAAGTAAAAGAATTTAAGAGTACCCTTAGAAAAAAAATCTCTCCGATTCGAATTCCAGGTAAAACAAAACACGACATGCAAGATCCTAAAAAAATGTCTGCACAACAAATATAAACAATCAATTTTAAATAATCCAAAATATAATGTCCCAAGTCCATATTACACCCAGAATTTGGCAGAAAGTAAAGGGCCGGGCACCATGACAACAACCGGATCATAATCTCAGAATGACGCAATTGATTTTTGAAAATGGGATATACTATTCCTAAAATCTTCATCATTCCTCATCTCTCTTTTTCATTCTTCTCAACTTTCTCGGGCCGTCGGGTTCTGGAA